TCTTTTTCATCACATTAACTTTTCTGTCAATCCTTAACTTCCGTCAAACATACAAATTCTTATCTCCTTCACTTTTCAAATCTTCTTACCATATAGATCATATTTTTTCTTCCTGTTTCAATACTCTTTTATACTCATTTATGATTATCGATCTTTATCGCATCTTCATAACTTTTTATATTTAACTTTACTTATACAGAACCTCATTCTTTACCATCTCTTATACTTGTATTTTCCTTCCTTAAAGCCCCCCATTTTAAAACATACAAATACTTATTTCCTTGCCTACATCCTATCTATCTGATCAGAATACACAACCACATCCAGATCCATATCATCATTGATTAACTCAACTTTATCTTTTCTTCAAATCTTATAACTTCTTATTCATACATATTAATCCTTATCTCTTTCGCTACATCACATTTACATAATCAAAATACATAACCATTTACAAATTTTACGCCATACTTTGTTAGCGTAACCTGACATTATCTTTAATCCTTTTACTCTAATACATTCATCATCATTTAACCTTATCAGTATGCAATAGTTCTTCCAATCATCTACACTCTTTTCGATCGAAACTAACTTAGCACTAATTTATTTGACTCATCAAACTCATATTCTTACTTCTTCACAATGTAATTTTCCTGGGTTCAAACTCAAGTATTACAATTTCCTTTATCTTATAAACCAATCATCAATGTACCCATTCTTAAATTCTTACAAAACAATACCTATCTCACTTGATCTATTTAAAACACTTCTTCTACTTCACTTTTCATAATTTCGAACAAAACTTTTAATCCAATTGACCACGTAACTTCATATTCAATCTTACTCTTTACTTTATCTTCCAATATCAAATCCTACTATTCAAGTGTTTCTGACTTTCATTAGATTTGATCTTTTAACATGAATACTACTAATTCCAACCATGATTTATTCGAAACCCAAAATTTCTGCCTCTCTTTGATAGTGCTAATCTTTATAAAATACCAATTCTCTTAATCATTCTGAGCACTCTCTAGTACTTTAGCACATATAACTACTTCTTGAAAAAGAAATGATTTCAACACCAATAGCATTCTTTTAATCTAACTGCAATTCTCTACTAACTACTTGCATACATCGTTTCATTTAAATCAGCTTAGCAAATATTCACTCAACTTATTAAATTGCACTCTTATCCATACACAATACGATTTCCCCCAGTTTCAAGCTCATAAGCTCTGGCTTTGCATATATATATATATATATATATCTGATAAACTTATCACCGAGATACTTATTATCAAAGTTTTCGAAACGAATATCCACATCACTGAATCTTTTATCATTCTCATAATAGCATTTGTTTACTATAGTTTAACTCATCCACATAGTAACGAAACTACTTCATCTAACTTCTTCACTTCAAAATAGTAGAAACTCTTTAATGTTCTTATGGTGACATTTGTTCATCATATTCTATCTTATCCATGTAATAACAAGAATACTTTATATTACCTTTCCAATTCAAAATAGTAGAAACCCTCTAACGCTATTTTAACATGATTTCAACTTGCTGAAATCCACCTTTTACCCTTACGAAACACTTCCTGAGGTGTTCTCTCTTCATCCTGCCTAGCCAGGGCAGGTGAATTGCTATCACCATCAGGTCTATCACCTCTCACTTTTTTTGAAACTATCATTATAATAATTCTATTATAATGTAATAATCTAATTCTATTAGCAAGACAGCACACTCCTTATACTATCAGATCAGAATTTTTTTCACTTTGAGTTGGCATGTACAAATTTTAAAACTCTTTTAACTTCGGTTTAAGCCTAGAATCGGGTAAACCTTAGCTCTGATACCATTAATATATGATAAATGTTATAGAAATATTATGATGTTGTGTGTGTATAGTGTTTGATTAAGAAGGTTAAGTATAAAAGTATTGATTAAAAGAGAAACTACTAATGATGATTTATGTGTATGTATTTCTTGCTAGGTAATCTGATATGATTTTATATGATATGATGTAATTAAGTGATTTGGTATAGCATGATAGAACGGAACATGCATGCATTATTAAATGTTATAAAGTGCATTATAAGTTTTATATGCCTCACTAAGTCGTCGACTTAGCGTGTGAATGTTTCACACGTAGGTTGGAAAGCGAGAAGATAAGCTAAGATGAGCAAGACATGTCAGCATTTTCCTTACGAAGTTCAGATCAAAAAAGTAAAGATAATATGTATTTTTTGTTCTTTCGGATATAGTTGGCATGTACTATTAGATTTGAATTAAATATGCTCTTATAGGTTTTGTAAAATGAATTGATTTTAATTAATGAAAAGTAATCATTTGTTTTTGAATTGTGTATTTAATATTTTTCTATTTTGTCAAGAAAAACATTTGAAAAGTCAATGTGACACCTCGGACTAGAATCTGGGTCGGATACGGGTTGGGGTTGTTACAAGATCTCTTACAGAGTAGGTATATTTAGGGTTTTAAATAGCAGACCGCTAACGCTATAGTGGCCATTATTTCACGATCGGACCATCGTCTGAAATTGATATTGCTTGAAATAACGATGTGAATGAAGAATCACACTAATAGTGGCCGCAACTTAAAGGGTAACGACCGATCACGGTGATAACAACCCGTTATTCCCATTACACCAAATCAATCCATCAAAATGGGTTCGAAAAAGAAAAAGAGAGAGAAGGGGGATTCGAACACAACAAAAAATGGGGTGTTCCAAAAAAACGAAAAAAGAAAGATATTATATTAACATTACTCCACCGTTTGTGTTTTGTGGGTCTTACTAGAGTGGAAATCACTGGAATCCAGTGCCGTTTCAGATATTTTTGGGGCCCTAAGCAAAATTAAAAAATAGTCCCTTATGAATTGAAAGTATATTATATTACTTTGAATAATTAATTTAAAATTTTGTTAATAAACCGTAGAAAATAATTAAATTAGGGCTTTAAATTATAAAAGTAAAAATTATGATTGAAAAAAAATTAGGGGCATCAATTTTAAAGGTAAAAAGTGAGATTAAAAAAATTAGAGGCCTCGATTTTAAAGGTAAAATGTGAATTAAAAGATTAGGTACTTCAATTATAAAGGTAAAAAGTGAAATTGAAAAAATAGGAGTTCAATATAAAGGTAAAATGAGATTGAAAAAAATCATGGTCATCAATTATAAATATAAAAAAGTGGGATTGAAAAAATTAATTGTCTCAATTATAAAAATAAAAAGTGTGATTACATAAAATAGGGACATCAATTATACATATAAAAATAAAGTTAAAGAAAATAAAATTACTCAATTATAAAATAAAAAATATAATAGAAAAATAGGTGGCTTATAAAAAATGGGCACCCTTAGCGATTGCTCAGGGTACACCCCCTAATAGCCGGCTCCACTGGAATTGGAGAAGGAAATATTCGTCAGAGTGGAAATCACTAGAATTGGAGAAAGAAAACTTCTGTTTAACTTGAGTTTCTCTTTTAAGTTTGAACATGTCATGGTTTTTGAGGTTTTAGCTATTGGAGAAGAAAGCACAAAGAAATAGGGAGAAAGGAGAGAACGATGGGGGTGGGGTGGGGTTGTTGGGGGAGTTTAGGATTAAAATATTTTAGGGTTTATTAGGCTTAAAACATAATTCACTCACATTTATATTTTCTATTTTTAATTTTTTAATGAATATATTAATTTTTCATTCCTACTATTTTTTAGAATTTATAATTTAATCTTTAGTTTAGAATATAAATTTTTATTTTTATTTAATTTAGTCATAATTTCAGTCATTTAAATAAAATGTTTTCACAATATTATCATTAATTAATTATCTTATCTTATTACCGGATTTTTAAAGTCTTATATTTTGTTAAACTATATATCATTTTCACTTAAAAACGTTAAAAAATTATTAAAAATGATTCCTTATAATTATAATTATTATGTTTTAGGGTAAGTTGTGCGAAATTTAAAATAATTCATAACTGTGACACCCGTAAATATCGCAATGACATTCGTTATATCTGCAATTGTGATAAACGCGACGCGACCGAAAACGCGACCGCAAATGCTATTTAAATCGCTGGGTGTATTTGCAGCGGTAAGTCAAAGAAAAGAAAAAGGCATCTCAATGCCGTAGCAAAAGCATTTCGACACTCTTTGGAGGAAGCTATCCACTATATCAACAAGAATGAAAGACATTCCTAAATCAACCAAACTTGCTGGATAAGATCATCAGAACGGAGACTCTCAACTCTTTGGAAGCAAATGCATTGCCTCGCCTTGAAATTTGAGTTTGCTTCTGATCATATTTTTGCTGGTAGAGGTTTGGTTGACGTGTATCCAAAGTGCGAAATTATGATTAACGCTTATTTAAATAGACTTTAAAGATGAGATCGTGTAGACTACTTTGATTGATGGATACGCTTATTGGGGATACATTGTTCGCTTATGAGGATATGGTTAAAAAGGGAATATTTGCTGTTTTTCTCCGTGTACGTTTAGTGCTTGCGCAGCATTAAAGGCTCTGAATTTTGGGAAACGTCTCCATTCAGTTATGGTGGAGGGGGGTTTGACTTGGAGATTTCAGTGGGAAACCCTCTTACAGATATGTATGCAGAAGTGGGATAGTGCCTCAAATGTGTTGGAATTGACTCTTGAGTGTAGAAATATTGTGTCATTGATGGACATGTCAATAGAGGATGCTTCAAATGTTTGTATTCAGCATGTAGATGTTGGATAATCTGCACATGCCAGTGCATATTCCTGTCGTTCTTTAGAAAAGAAATGATACCATCATGTCTGCACATAATCAAAATATATTGATGAAACAACTTGTCGGGAAAAAATTTAGACTCAGATAATACACAAGCGATAGCATACTGTGCGTCAGATATTACAGAATTGTGTAAGTACTAAAGCATATACATGTAATTAGTTTAGGCTTAAGAATCTGATTACTAATTAAAATCATATTTCCAATAGTCTTGACGGTAGATATCCGCTGTCTCTCATGTTTTTTGAGGTTGATGTGCTTTATCTTGAGTTATCATGTCAAATTTGAGCTATCGACCCTGCAGGTTCCATGTATTTTACACTCCGTATCATAAGAACGAAAACGATGTGCAACTGAAAGATTTACCTTTGGGCATCTTCTTTTCTGGTTTACAATGGACAACTGAGATTTCTTCTTATTATTCTTTGTTTCTCTTTAGCTTTGGATTTGGTTGGTGTTTCCATTGTCCATTCCTCAAAGTACTGCAAGAGAAAAAAAAAAGTACCGACAAAATTAGGAACAAAGCAGGAAAAAAAAACTAGATCTAGTAGAATGCTTCAGTTGTGGATGGTTTACCTGTTGCTTTTGTCTTCTCTCGAGTTCCGCCTACCGAAATGCAAGTAAATGAGAGCTTAGATCTTGCATATTGTACATGATAAAAGCTAACGAAGACAAGTAACATTAGTGTTACCAGAGCCTGATTAAGATGAGCATTCTCTTGTTTCAGTTGGTTCAACTCTGCTTCCAGCTCAACTGTGTATGCCTGTAAACACAACCAACCTTAGTTACAATGGTCACTTCTACAGAAACCCATTACTTGTAATAACAAAAACAGCATGAAATCATCAATCACATAAGTTAATGGCCTAATCGCTATTGTATAAACCTTCATACTTGTGATACGTAGCCTACATAATTGTGATATATATATATATATATATATATATATATATATATATATTTGTTTAGAATTTTCTTAATCACGACTACAGTCTATCAATTTAATATAAAGCAGGGGTAGGAGTACCTGTTTTCTAGCTCTAGACCTTGCAGCTGATTCCCTATTCTTAATCATCCTGCGTTGCCTTCTCTCAACTACCTTTTCTATTGGACCATCGATGATCCTTTTCCTTCCTCGTAGTCCACCTATCTCCATACCAAATTGAGTGGCTGCAATATCAACTTGATTGGTACACATCCCTTCTGGTGATACAGTACTTATTGGTGACACCATTCCCATTGCCTGTCCTGGTCCATAGCCACCAGCTGTGGCTACTTTCCTGTTATAACAGACGGATGTCGACGGTGGTGGGGCAGCTGGCTGGTAGGCTCCACCACCCCTCTTACCATCATTAAGATACACCGATGAATCACCAAGTACTCCCCCTGGTGGCATTGTCTGGTATGTACTCCCATTAAAACCACAACTGCCGCCCATTTCCATAATGGGCCTGGGAATGAAATTCGGACCCACAGCGGCGTTATTGCTAGACTGATGCAACCCAAACTTCTGCTGAAGTTGCGGTGGTGGCACACATGGTTCCCGAACAACACCTGCCTTAACCAAGAAATCCTCCAAGGTCATTTTTCCGAAGGTAGGCTGTCGAGTACTGGTTTTCTCAACATCCTGCAAGTTGCTGTTATTACTCAGCCGTTGTCCTTGTTGCACTCTATGTATCTCAGACCAAACTTCATCGACAGTCTTCCGACACAACGTTGCAGGGAGCGTAAGCGAGCCTTGTCTCGGAAGGCTAGGCTGCCTAACTACACCTTTACTGCTTCCTGCTGTTCCATTCAAAGAAAAGTTAACACGGCTGCTGCTAACCGGTCCAGTTGCACCGTTATTGTGATGATTGCTACTATTGGAGTCGGTAGCTTGGTTTTCTTCAGCGTTCCATATGCTTGTAAGGAATTCGTCCATGTTCATGGACCCAAAGTTCTTCCCACCCTCGCATAACGTATGCTGGAACTCGTCGAGAGTGAGAGAATAGATAGAGGATTGCTTTCCGAGGGCCGACAAAGGGTGGCTCTTTTGCAACTGCGACTCAACCTCTCCCGCCTCAGACTCCTCAACCACCATTTTTGAGGTGAAAGCTTTGAACACTGCCTCTGATGACTTATATATATGTAGCAACACTCACTATATAAAGAAAGAAACTCTGAAAATCTTGTAGTAAACCATAAAAAACGAGATTATGATTGATAATTGAATATTGTAGCAGATTGTTAAAGGGGAAAGTAAACAAATTGCAGAAGCAAAGAAGAAGAGTTGATGCAAAAGGATGCATTATAATTTACTTACAACAGTGGAATAATAGATGAGCGCACATGGACACTAAAGGCAAAAGACAAATTAAAATGATGGGAATTCATGGGAGATTAAATTCAATAACCGGGGAGTGCTTTTTCAGGTCAAGGATAAAGGCTTCTAAAGTGGGTGAGCAATGGGAATCTATAGCTTATCTTCACCATCCTCCATCAATTAAAATATAATAATGTTCATCTTGCCAGAAGATATCCTCTTGTTTTCAAATGGATCTTCAAAATTTAGTTTTTGTGCTACATTTTAATTTCATTGTACCTGTTTTGCCCCCCCCCCAAGTATATGAAAATTAAATAAGAAAACATCTTTTATTTAATATTTTAGAAATAAAACGATAGGAAATGGTGGGGAGAATGAGGTAAACTCCTCTATACCTAACTAATTTCCATATCTCTCTTAATGGCTAGAAAAGTTTTCCCAAAACAATAAAGTTGACGAATATCTTAAATTTTATAAAAAAAATTAAAGGTACATATGCACGTTGAACTACTCAAAGTGCAACAGATATAATGGTGGGCCAACAAGGAAACTGCAAAAGAATCTTTCCTATTATGGAAAAATGATTATATCCCTTGACTAATTAAGTACCACTAGACTTAAATCTAAATCAAATCATTTAAGGGTAAATTACAAATTTAATATCTAAATTATCAGTTTTATTCTGTTTTAATATATAAACTTTAATTTTTTTTTTTCAAAAGCATGCATAACAACGTCTAGTTTTGTTTCGTTTTAGTACTCTACCATTAAAAATTTAATGGGCGATTTGCATGTGACAAATTTTTATGTATAAATTGCATCATTCATTATTCAATTACCTTCTCACTCCTATTTTGATCACTGAAATTTAAATTTTTATAATTTAATTACTTCACTTCCAGATTATTCCTAATTTAATCACACTATCTTTCAAATTTATTTGTTTTTATTTTTAACTATATATTAATAAAATAATAATAAAAATATCATGTCATAAAAATTATTAATAAAATAAATTAGAGTTATTAAAATAAAAGCAATTTGAAAATTGAGTAATTAAATTGAAATTTTTTAAACTTTTTTTAACAAAATAGTAGGTAGATAGTTAAGGGATGACTGATGTAATTTACTCATAAAATATTTATGCAGTGCCGACGAATTTTTAACGACGAGGTACTAAAACGAAAAAAAGTTAAATGTCAGACATGATTTTAAAAATATTAAAATTTTAAGTATTAAAATTGATTAAAACTGATAATTTAAATATTAATCACGTAATTTATCCATAGTTTAATTTTCATTACTTAGGAATAGAAAGATAATTAAAATTAACGAAAAAGGAACATAAAGGTAAAGGGCGGTTTTTTTATTTAATAATGAAAATAGCTAACTAAACTTACCTATCATTCCGCACTTGATTATATTGGTGGACAAATCTATAAGAGGTTGATTACGATGATTCATGGGTTTATTTTTTAACATAAAATTATATGTTCGTTCTCAATGGTAATAATGATAACCTAAGAGGTTTGGCTAACGGATTAAAAACTGTTTTTCAGATGGTTAAAGCAGCCATCCCCGTTGAACACATTATTGGTGTGGAGAGAAAGAAAAAGAAGTGAAAGTGGATGACATTACCTGAAGAATTCAACAATGGAGGAGGTGCAGTTGGACCAGAATGGTCGGGGCGGGATCCAGTGGGGGTTCAGCAACGGGGTTGAACCGGAATGGTATTTATTTGTAGAGGGATGGGGTCCAAGATAGTGAATTGAAAAAAGTTCCAAAAGGAATTGCCGTTGCATTGGTGGACACGTACGTGGCATGTGGCATGCATTGCTTTCCACTGCTCGACGCGTGTGCACCTGTGAACTTGGCTTGTCTTTTCACATCAGGAAATCGAATAAACGAAGTCACCGCAACTTGCATGTGGCATGCATTGTTTACTTCAATTGAAAATATTTTATGTTATCGATTACTAACTAGGTTTACCATGCGCTCCTTTTAAATAATTGTTCAACATTTATTGAGATTGGACAGCACTAAGCGATGGCGAAGGCATCTGAGGCACATGGGGCAGTGTGAAAAGTGAATGACGAATTTGGAAGGACAAAAAGATGACGCGCTGGTGCATTCATAGGGACATGGGACTGAAGGCCACTGTTTTTGGAGGCTTGCTTCTATTCACCTCCCCATCTTTAACCCTTCTAGAAAGGTGGTGGAAAAGTATTTTTCTAAAAAATGATTTGAAAAGTGTTTTTAAATTGTTTTATTTAATTTTTTCAATAATTTAAAATAATTACAAGAATAATATTTGACTAAAATATTTTTAACCATTAATAATACACATATACTATATAGATGTAATTATTTAGACTTAAGAGCTCAAGGAAAACGATGACCTCTTTCGCCGTTAAAGTTTTGAATATTTGAATCACCCCAAAATTTTTTTTTAAATAGACCAAATATCTGTTTTAGATGTTATTTTTACAAATATAGAAGACTTAATGATATAAATAAGGATAAATGACACTAACGGTCATCAATATTTGAGTAAATTTTTATTTTCTCATATTAATAAATTAGTCACTAACGCTATCAATTTATAACAAAATAATCACTCTACCATCATCTTTGTTAAATTGATATCGTGACAATATTACATAAAAAGTTAATATTTAGTTTTACCCTTAAACTATTATTAAAACATCAAGTAAATCTTTAAACAATGATTTAATATCTAATTTACCCCTTAAACTTTTTAATTTTCATTTTTTCCCAAACAAGCCACCATCATCACCACTGAATTGTACCACCTACTTTCTTCCCCCACCACTGCTTTGGCATCGTAAGCAAAGACACCATTAAAGTCAATCTTACTGATACGAGCTTTTCTTTCAGTGTTTTCTTACCTAAACAGTACTGAAAGACCCCTCTTTTTTTTTCCATTTGCTTTTTTGTAATGCACTAAAGTCTGTTCCTTTTTCACTGAGTTGGGGTTGTCTTAGCTCTTCTTCTCGGGGGGTGAATGAGGTGCGTGTTCTCTCAATTGGCTGCAAAGTTTACTTTTTTCCCACCAGCTCCACCAACTTACCAAGTTAAGAAAGGTGACAATGAGAAACTCACATTGGTTTTATCTTCATCGACGCCCGCTTTCGTTGTCGATGATCCTTCTTTGGATGTGCTTTTGATAGACACCAAACGTGGGAACAAGATTGTTGGGTTTTACTTGAAAAATCCATATGCACGCCTGGTGGTAATGCTACTTGTCATAACTATTTTTTTTAAAATAATTAAATTTAAAAAAATAATTATGATTTTTTTTGAAAAATTGAGGATTTTAAATTAATTTGAATTAAATCGAATAGGAGTCACCATCGATCTTTGGGTTAGATAGATTATATACCAAAACACTTCTTTTAAAATAATTTTAAAGAAAATATTTTTTAAGATCAAAATTGGTATGCGTTTAACAAAAATCCGATTTAACGAGTCTGAGATTCAATTATGTGTGGGGAAAGATTAACACCCTCACAGCGCCCAAAATTGGTACTTAATCGCTTACATATTATCGTAAATGGCGGAAATCATGAATTTACATCGATAATTAAAGTATGATCCATTTATTAAAGTTGAATTAATTTGCTTCGAATTATTATTAGGGAAAATTCTTTAACTTGAAAAGAAATCTCGAGATTAGCAATCCTCCATCGAGAAAGCTGTCTCGTCTATTTTTTATCTGTAAAAGAATATTCCCTTTCATTGTTGCTAAAGATTACAAATCGAACGAAATTTATTGGTAATTTCATAAACAACATGACATACCATTTTAAGAAACAAGCATTGTCATTAAACTATAATAAAAGGATGAACTGAAAAAATCATTTGATCAATTTCACGTTCACCTATCATTCGAATGTCGTATCGAATCACACTACTTCGATCAAACAGTGATTTTCATGCCCATTCTACGACGAGTGTTCTTGAAAATGTTCTAATGAGCTTAAACATTTTTAATCAAGTATGAGAGACACACAATATTAATATAAAGGCTAATTTATAAATTAAATTAATATGAATGAGATGAAATAATATAATGAAATAAACAATTTATATAAACATGCAGGGATTAAGAAAAATTAATTAAACATACATATATATTATAATAATAAAACATCTAATAACATAAAAAATAAACATATTAATTAAACGGTTTAAACTAGTACAATAAAGAATAAAATGTCATTAAATAACAAAAAGGACTAAATCGTAAAAGGACAAAATAATAAAGCATAAATATGTAATAAACCCCATAATTTCACTCACAAAACCAAAACAATGACCAAACTGAGCTAAAAGTAAAATCTAAAATCTATGATAAAAACTCAATATTTATCTTCTAAAATAATATTTAAGGACTAGAACAAAAGCCAAATAAATTTAGGAACCAAATCATTAATATTGATAAATTCACTACTACACAGATAAGAATCTAAATGAAATAAATCATGAATCAATGGCTTACAAAAGGAATTAATCCAAATACACTAAGGAGCAGATCATGGCTGAAATGAATACTTTATAAATTCTATGCTCAATATAAAATATCAACATACACATGTCAACATAAAAGCTAGGACGAAAATATAACGAGGAATAAACGTGAGGTTCAAATCCAAAAAGTTCAAAATTTCATTAATGACCGTGAACAAAACATTACAAATGAGAGGAGGGACCTAAACTGAAAACACACCATTTTCTGAAAACAAGCGACCCTCCTCTTTGAGATGACGTCGTTCGGGGAGGGTATATATGACTATTACTTAAGCCAAAAGCCCACCCTCCTCTTCATTTTTTCTATTTAACCCCGAAAGAGAGAGAGAAAGAAAAACTCTCTCAACTTTCCTCCCCTTCTCTC